GTATCTGGTCTGTTGTTCTACTAGGGGGTCGTGGATGGAACCTTTAAGGGGTGGAACCTAGTGTGAGGAAGTCAGTTCACGGGGGTATGACTCTGAGGGGATACCAGGACCTGCCTGTTCTTTTTCCTCCCTCTCTTTAACTCCTGCCATGAGGCGAGCAGCTCCCTCTGCCACACACTCCCACCAGGACTTGCTGCCGCACCGCAGGCCCAAAAGCAGTGTGGTTAATGGACCATGGACCGTCCCGAAACATCTGGAACAGAGAACCTAAATAAACATTTCTTCATTATAAGTTGATTGATCTTGCACTTCCAGCGTGTCTATGGCGGCTAACAGCGACCACAGACCTGTCCCAGCTCTTGCCACTAGAGCTTGTGGACAAGTGTGTAGGATCAAGAATTCACATCGTGATGAAGAGAGATAAAGAAATTGTTGGGATTTGATGACTTTGTCAATATGGTGTTGGAAGATGTCACAGAGTTTGAAATTACACCAGAAAGAAGAAGGATTACAAAATTAGATCAGATTTTACTAAATGGAAATAATATAACAATGCTGGCTCTGGAGGAGAAGGGCCTGGAGTATGAGTGGACTTCCTTGACTTATTCTGGCTTTTTAAAAATCTTTATTGTTTAGATTCTATAAAATGAAGTTTTTGTTAAAAGGAAATACTTTGAAGATATACACCCATTTTTCTAAGCTGATCATGGTTATTTTGGGAAAAGAACAGTTTTGGTTTTTTTTTAAGACTTAAAAAAATACAGATGTTTTTGGTTAAAAAAAAAATAAGTTGATTGAGCTCAGCTATTTGTTACCGTATCCTACCTCTTCTGTGTCAGGCACATTGTAGCAGCTCATACTTTATAACCCTTGTTCTTAGGCAAGAAGGGGAATGCGGTGGACATTGAGCCAAAGGAGGATGATAACACACACACACACACATGCACGCACACACACACGCACGCACGCACACGCACACAAACTATGAAGAGAAAGAACTTGAATAAACTTATGGGAAAGAGAAAAGAGTAAAGGGAGAGAGGCAGAAAGAAGAAAAAGGGCAAAAAAGAAGGAAGTAATGGAGAACAGGTAGATAGAACTAATAATGGAAGGGGGAGAAGGGAGAGAGGGAGGGAAAGAGGAAGGGAGAAAGGGAGAAGATCCAGGTTAGACAGAGCTAGCACTGGCCTCAGCATGAGGGATGGAACAACATCGCCCCTCTCCTTTCTGCCCGGTTTTGCATGTTTGCATCTTGCTCCAAGGAGTAGGAACTTCAGCCACAGTAACTTCAGGCTTTCAAACTTCAGCCTAAGGACCAAGGCAAGATGCTTGTCCCGGTAGAGAGACTAGAGGAAGACTCTAGACTATCCCAGTAGGTGCAGTAGGAGGGGCACTGCAGATTCCCTCTTGCCCAAAGTGGGTGACTTCTGGGACTGACAATCTTCCCAGCATCCCATGGGTGCGATTAAAGCAGGAGCTTGCCCCCTGGCAGAGCAAAAGCCAGCTTGTGTCACACTGGTGAATGTGACTCCCAGGCTCAGGATAGCCAAGAAGGACTTGATGTGAACAGTGAGGAGAGCCATGTCTATGCAGGGAGCAGCAGGTACAGATGGTGGGCACTGTCGTGTTGGAGGAGACCCTTACATCTCTGCTTCTGCTTTTCCAAAGGACTATGATGTGTGCAGCTACCCTAGAAGCCAACAGCTTCGATTCCCTGCAGCCCTAGAGACTCAAAAGCCAAGGATGGCTCCCAGATGAAACTCCTTCCTCCATAGTGTAGCACTTTCTTTGGCATACAGAATTTTGCTTCCAGGCGTTGCTATATTTGATGAGAACGCACACATCCATCTGCCTAGGAAGCAGCTCTGGTCCTCTGCTGAGCACAGGCCTCCTCTCCTTGTTCCTCCCGATCAGGGACCCTTCAGTGAGGGCAAAGAAGCCACTAGCTCATGGTACCCAAGTCCCTAGAAGGAACACAGCCTCAAACTAACATTTACATCCCTAGGTTTAACTCAGGGGGTACCCGGGCCCAGCTGAACCCCACAGACATTAGGAAAGAGTGGACACAAGAACTACCCAAGGTTCCCTGGGCCCAGTGTTGTCCATGAAAGTGCTGCTCCATCCAAGAGACCTGTCTTTCTTGGGACATTTCCCTTCTGCTCCGCTATGAGTCACATTACCATCTCTGTCATTCCTGGTTTGTGCCATAACATAGTTGTGGTTCCGCTGCCACCACAAGGAATCACAGACCTTGACCGAAACAACAGCAAGCTCACAGTGCCAGAGGCTGAAGTCCAAGATCAAGGTTCCCTGAGTGGCTTCCCTTGTTGGCTTGCAGATGGCCGCCTCCCTGCTGTGTCTCTACAGGATGTTCCTTTTGTGTGTGTCTGTATCCTGGGCTCCTCTTTTTCTGATTTATTTATTTTTATTTTATGTATATCAGTGGTTTTCCTGCATGTCTGTGTGAGGGTGTGGGATCCCCTGGAGCTGGAGTTACAGACAGTTGCAAGCTGCACATGGGTGCCAGGAGTCGAGCCCAAGCCTTCTGGAAGAGCAGCCAGTGCTCTTACGCACCGAGTCATGTCTCCAGAGCGCTGGTCATTACAGAATGGGACCACCTTAATGACCGCATTACCTTCTCAGTATCCTGTCCCCAGACACAGGCATATATCATAGGTTACAGAATGGGACCACCTTAATGACCGCATTACCTTCTCAGTATCCTGTCCCCAGACACAGGCATATCATAGGTGCTGAGAGTTTCGCTCCAGGATGTGGTCTGTAAAAAGGGATGTGTCTGGCCCAGGGTATCACTGTAAGAGGGTCTTTGTGGCCAGCCATAGCCATCTTCCTCCCGGGTAGTTTTTTCTTTCTTTTAGATTCATTTGCTTTATGTGTGCGAATGTTTTGCCTGCATGTGTATGTTCACCAGGCACATTCTTGTTGCCCTGGAACTGGGCTTATAGTTAGTTATGAGCCATGATGTGGGTGATACGACTTGGACCCAGATTCACTGCAGGAGCAAGTGCTCTTAACTGCTGAGCCACCTCCCCAGCCACCCCCAGGCAGCTTCTTAGGCCATAACTTCGTGAGCCAGAATTGGCTGCAAAGTTGGGGAAGAGATGCCCACCGTGGGCCAGAGAAAGGGGCTGCATGGGTGGCAAATAGCACCACAGCCAGAGACAGCCCAGCTCTAGTGCTTTCTGGGCCTGTAGTGCCTCTTGCAGGGGCTCACGGTTTCTTCTCCTCATCTGCACTGTGAGGAATGCAAAATGTGGCCACACTCACTCTCAATCCCTTCCTCTACAGCAGTGAGTGTATGCAGTGAGTGTGTGCAGTGAGTGTGTGCAGTGAGGCAGGGGAGACGACACACCTGGCCCCAGGCGTGTATGTGGATAACAGGTAGCGAGTCCTTCACCCTCCCTCCCGTCCTTGATCTTGAGAGGTTGGACCTAATTAGAGAAAGTGTGTCACTGTGAGTGTGTTCTTAGGGGTGCTATCTTGCCCGGCCCCCTCTCGTTACTGCTGGTCTTCTTCCTGCTTGCCGTGATGTGAATTTCTCTGCTTCACTGTGCCCTCACCAGGGTGTTCCCTGACACAGATGAAAATCACTGAAACAACGTGGGGGACAGAACTTCTTTCTCTGAGTCGCTTATGTTAGACACAAACAGCTATGGGAACGCTAACACAGGTCGTAGGTTGCCCTGAGGAACAGGAAGAGGTCAGACATTTCCCTTAGCATATGAGGAGCCAAGCCCTGGTCCCTGACCACTCCACCACTGACAGTAACACTGCAGGCATGTCCTGCTTGTTCCTCCAGGCTGCTGCTCCTGAAGCAGCCACAGCGGATGATGCACTTAGTCAACCAAGCTCGACATTCATGACCCCTGAGATGCCCTCGGGCATTCTTTAGGGACTGGGAAGCACAGAGGCTAATTATCTCCAAAGCATTGATCTTTTACTAACCCACATGGGTTCCATCTCATTAGATTTTTTTTCTGCCTGTCCAGAAGAGTTTCTCTTGCCTCTGATTTGTAGTCTTATACCTATTGCAATCAGTCGGGGTAAAGAAATCATTTTCATTTTTCTTGTATTTGTTGAGACTGGCCTTGTGCCATATATGGGTGGATGCTCCATGGGCTTCTGGGAAGAATGCAAACTCTGCAGCGTTTGAATGGCATGTTCTGTAGATCTCTGTTAAGTCCATCTGGTGTACAATCCCATTTAATTTTAATATATCTGGCTTGGGTTTTTGTTTTGTTTTGTTTGTGGGGATGACCTATTGGTGAGAGTGTGGTATTGAAGTAACCCGGTATTATCACGATAAGGTTAATCTGAGACTTTCCTCCTAATAGTATATTTTATGAGATTGTGTGTATCTGTATTCAAGACACATGCATTTAGAATCATAATGTCCCCTTGATGGATTGCTGCTTTAGTTTGAAGACTGTTTTGTCAGATCATAGACCACCTTCTGCATTCTTCTATCTGTAATGTGTTTATTCCCCTCCATCAGTGAATGTGCTGAGTTCCCTAGGTCTCTGGGCATTGGCCAATGAAGATGTTGGCCAGGCTGTAGACGAGACTTTACCATCCCCTCCTTGCTTCAGAAGACCCCACACGATGGCCAACAGCCAGCTAGCTCTCAGTTCTGACTGTCGTACCCAGATGCTCATTTATGGAAGGCACCATTTAAACATGCATCTCATACACATTTCCCTTGTCAGCCAGTCCAGCTGCCAAGAAAGGAAATGGGCTCCCTCTGCACACATCCAGGGCTGGGTCCTGGCTCTTTGTTGGGAGTATGCATCCCTGGCTCCAAAGGTCCTGGTGAGCAGAGAGAACGTTGGATCCATTCCTCTGGAGAAGGGAAGGCGGCCCGCAGAATGGAAAGATCAGCAGCTGAGGTTGGAGGGAGAGAGGGATGGAAGCATTTAGAGCGGGTTGGAGATCTGCCTGGTTACCGAAATGGAAGACATAGGAACTTGAGAAGCCACCAGAAAGGTCACATGAATGTTTATTACATAGAAAAGAGGAAAAGGAAGACAATGTTTCCAAAACCATATTCCCAAGGATTAAAAAAAAAAGAATTAGAATGCCGAAGAAAAGCCATGCTTTGTGTATTTATAACAGGACCGCGTGTGTATGTACACATATGTATATGGAGATATGTACACGGGCTTTGTTGCTGTGGGAGATTCTCCATCACATGTAAGCAGCACTACCGGAAAGCTGGGGTTCAAAGCTGTTGGGAAGCTGGAGAAGCAGGAGCCCCGCTCTGCTCCTGTGGGGCCCTGCGGGAGCCTGCGCCAAAGCCACCCTGTCAAGCCTGAGGACACCAGCAAAATTTAGCCAAAGTCAGATCTGGGCCCCAGTTTGCAAAGCCAGGCAGTCTGGAATCTTCCCTAGGGCTGAGCTATTTCAAGTAGTCTCCAATCTTTGGAATGGGCTGGCAATGCCGCCCCGCCCCCCTGGCTGGACTGGGGCACGTGGGCACCCCGTGAGTAAGGAAAAAAGGCCCTGGAACTAGTCAGAGAACATGAAAATGTACAGCAGTTAATCTAACAGAGACAAGAGATCCAAACGAAGCCAACAGCGACACCAAAGCAGTAATTCACAACACAACACGTGCCCAAAATTCAGTGATACAGCCAGGGTCTCCACGTGTTGCTGAAAACAAAAGAGCCTGTGCGACAGTGTTCAGCTGTGCCTGTGCAGACGGCCAGCTTCGGCTCCATGGAATACCGCTTGTGAGGACAGCCGGCTTCGGCTCCATGGAAGCCTGCAGAAGTTAGTCACAAGCCCCATCATGGCTTCTCCCCGATCAAAACTTTCCTCCTCCTCTATTCCTTGCTCGCTCCTGGGCTGGGACAGGCAGTGCAGGAGAAGTTCAGAAAATCAAAGTGCTGTCTGAAACCCGAGAAAGGCCCCCAGGAAGGCGGCACCGCACCCTCCTTGCCCCTCCCACATCGGACCACTCTTGGACCCCGGTACTTCAGTGGATCTGGATTTGGTGCAGTGGGGATCCTGAACCCAAAGACCCCATAAGAGAGAGGAACCGGTGTGCATAGGGGATGCGGCTGGGGACGTGTGACTGATTGGGATGAGGACAGTGGTGACACAGCTTTCTTGAGTGGTCTGCCATGCTGGGGTAGGGCTTCTGTGACATAGCTTACCAAGAGTCATCCATGCTCCAGTAAGTAACCCCATAAACTCACTAGGTCCCAGACTTAACGTTGGTGGAATCATTTCTTTAGACCTTTGGTGACCTGTCTGGGGGCAAAGAGGCACTTCTCTGGGTCTCCCCAGGAAAGGTCACTTGCCCTGGGACGGGGTGGGGTGTAGAAGGGGGTTGGAGCATGCTGGACCGACCAGTGTTCGTTTTGCCAGGAGGAATCGACTCTCCCAACTCTGGGGCTGCCAGCCTTTTGGAATAGTGAGGTCCACATGCCACCCCGCCTGGGTGGATGGGTCTGCATTCTCTAAACCCCTGGCTTTGTCAGGACTGTTGGGAAATGAAGGACTGGCTTTATTCCTATACTGTCGTGGACATGGAGGGTACTTGGGACCACTCTAATTGGGATCCATTCTGTCGTGATGCATCATGGGATTGAGGCTAGGTCATGCTCTGAGTGAAATCACACCTCCGCGAACTCAGGAACATTCAGAAGCTCTCAAAGGCTGACAGGAAGAAAAGGAAGACTGCAAGCTCTGAACCTTTCCCTCAGCACTCTGCTGGCCTCTTCACAGCACTATGTCCCTGCCGCTGCCCAAGATCATCTCCAGGTCCCCTACAACCTCGGCACAGAACTCTCCCGAAAGATATCGTGCAGCTGGTCCTTGAAGAAAGGGTCTCTCCCACTTTGCTGTCACTGATGGAAGCTGGGTACTGCAGGGGTGTGGCCTGGAGGGCGTCTTTCATCTGAGCTCAGGACCTGAGCATTTTTAGCACTGAAGGAACATTTGCCAACTGCGGAACCCCATAGCAGGGCCAGTGGACCCCACCCCCAGGCCCATAGATGTGTCCTGGCTTCCTGCCGCCACTAGGGGGAAACCTTGGTCTGCATCGGGCACACTTCTGCCCGGGACTAAGTGACCAAGTGGCTACAGTTAGTTCTATAAACCACAGAGAAGGCCAGCCTCTGGGAAGCCATGACTGGTGAAGTTGGGGGTTTCCCAAAGCTCCCCTCTGACCCCTACAATGCAGTTAGAACATGATCCAGCCGGTGTGAGAAAGACCAGAAGAGAGCGGTTGCCAATGCGCCGCCTTTCTGGCTCCCCAGCATGGCCCATGCTTTCTTCATGCAGGTCTCTAACAGTGATACACATCACTAAAGACTGGAAAGCCTGCTCCCACCTCACATAAGCTGGAGGCATGTGTGAAGGTCGCCATCCGCCCGGACCAGCAAGGAAGAGAGCAGCTAAAGAGGGCTTAGAGAAAGGTAAGTGTGTTTTGCATCTTGAGGTAAAAGGCCCACTATCATTCTGCTTTCAGGAGCCTTAGACCTTTGGGGGGATTTTCCTGGTCTTGGGTTTCAGCCACTGTGTGCTAGCCTTAAGCCCAGCATTTGAGATGTACACATGATTTTTCTTTGGAACATCTAGATCCTTTTCTGTCTAGGGAACACTGTAGCCATGTGGTTTATTTTCTGCGTCTCCTTTAGCTGAGTTCTCCTCTCTGCTCCCCAGCCCCCAGCCTCCTACACCCCACAATTTTATCATGCATCAGTGCAGCCTTGGTCCTATGAGGGAACGTAGGAACTGGATCCCATGAACCAGGCAGCTCCCAGCACCAACTGTGCCAGCTGCCATCGGCTTCCACCCTCCATAAGGGGTGCGTGGAAGCCAGGAGGCATGGCTTTGAGGGCAGATGAGGTCAAAAATTCAGGAAGGCAGAGGGGGAAACACTACCCCAGCCTTCTGAAGAGGTTCATTATCCCTCCCTGTGACTCCTGAGGGGTGTGTGTCTGGGGGAGAGTCTCTGCTCTCCACGGGAACATTTAACTAAACCCCTCCCTGCAGGCGGCTCAAAGAACAGCTAAGATGAACCGCTCTGGGCAACACCTGGGCCAGGCCTACTGTGGAGACTGTTTGCTGGGGCCTGGAGGCAGGTCTGGGGCCTGGGGGCAGACCAAGTCCCTGTCACATCCTTCTCTTCTCTCCAGTACTGCTGGAGGGTTGATCCAGGAAAGGGCAGCAGTTTGGTCAGTCTGAAACTGGGAGTGGCTAATGCCATGGGGGCCACAGTCCGGGGTCCCCCGTGATCTCCACAACACACTACACACCACTGCTTGATTTTAGCTTGACAAAATCTAGATCACCCTGGAAATGTCCTAATGAGAAATTATTTAGATCAGACTGGCCTGTGGGCATGTCTGGGGAGGATTATCTTAATTGTTAACTGAGCAATTCTTAGTTGTTAATTGAAATTGTTAGTTGAAGTTAACAACCACCCTGACTGTGGGTGGCACCATTTCATGGACCTGGGCTTTGTAAGTTTACAAAAAACTAGCTGAGGTGTGAAAAGAGCAAACAGCGCGGATGCCTCCTCTCTCTGTGCTGCTGACTGTGGGCGTGTGGCTAGCTGCTCCCCGACTCTGCGGTGATAGACTGTGTATCACATGCAGAAGCAAAAAAGGAAATCAAGGCCAGCAGCAGAAAGATCCCCTTCCCTCCTGCATGTTGCTTTCTTGTCCCCATATTTTATCCCAGCGGCAAAATGAAGCTAGGACACTCAGGCTACCTGGTGCCTCATTCTTGTTCCGGGGTCCCAGGGTGGGGGGAAAAATGGCCACACTGACCATGATGTCCTGGCCATGTCTCACACACCAGGATGCTCTCTGTGTGCCTGTGATTTCTGCTCCTGGCACTCATAGCCAGAGAATATGCTTCTGAATTCTTTCCCAAGGTTGGGACAGGAGCCCTGAGCTAGGCCATCTAGGGGCTTTGTCACTAAAGGACCTGTGGCCCCTAAGCACTTTATGGCTTGATGGCCTTGCTCCCTAGATCTCTGGTGGTAAATGAACTCTGGTCACCTAGATCCAGTGGTCAGCTTGGACTGTGGAGGGAATTAGCCCCTGTCCACTGTCTGAGAACAATTATGGTAAAGTTAGGCCTCACCAGGGGGCTGCTATTTGTAGCACTATTCTGAGGGCTCCTAAGTCTACCCACATCAGCCACCTGGAGAGGGGGGTGCTAAGGAGACAACTTTCCAAGCTTGAAAACCCCTGTATTAAGCCATCCCACAGTGGAATTCACGGTGACACTTGTCACTCAGAAAAGTCCCACTCGAGGCTGGCTCATGTCACTAAACAAGAGATACAAATTGCTATCTCTTCTCAACTCCCCCAGTAGCCACCCCCAGTCCAAACCAGGCAAATAGACTTCTCCCTCACTCTGGGGGCCGCTCTTGCCAAGGGCTGTCATCACTGGTTATGGGGGGGGGGGGGGGCGAGTAAAGGGCTGTGGCCTGGCAGCACGGGAGGGCTCGACCATTCATTTCCCTGTGTCGTGGATATCTGTACAGCTTTGCTACCTGATGTAGCTCCCTTGAGAGCAGTGATCTGCCAGAGTGGTAGCCCAAGACAGGGCCTGCAGACACACAGAAGCAACAGAAGTAAACATGGAAGATACAGGATCAAGGGTGCGACTTGATCCCACAGAGCCCTGGAAGAAACTAATACAGGGTAGGACAGGCAAACTGGTCCAGAGTCAGAGCCCGGAGTGAGGACGCCACAGATTACATCTCTTCATGGTGTCAAGGGCTGTCCAGTTTGGAGGTCTGCTCCCAAAGACTGCAATTAAGAAGTCTGGTAGGGGGCTGGAGCCCCAGGGAAATGGGAGCTGCTTCCCAGGAGCCCCCATCCACCAAGGCAGAAAGTGGGCAGCTTTCTTTAGCCCTGGCCGTGCTGTGACAGAGCCTCGGCTAGATAGGGAAAGATTCTCCAAGAGGGACCCGTGGATGGCTCTAGGCCAGTGCGGCTGGGAACTGAGCTCTGGGCCTGTCCCACACGTTAGCGCTTCCTACGTTAGCATGGGAATGAAGAGGGATACAAATAGCCGTGTCATCACTGTAATTCTGGATCGCCTTCTCTTAATTTCAGACTGGTGCCCGAAAACCTTCTGTTGGTTTCTCCTCCCATTAAGGATCTAACCCTGTATTGGCACATCACTCCCAGGCTTGCTGCTTAATGGGGCACCAAGGTCCGCAAGTCGTGCCGATAGGGTCAGCCTCACACTGCCTCTTCTTGCAGCATGTATGAATTCCAGGTCACTCTTCTCACGCTTCATATGCAGACGAGTCTCCATTGTCCCCCAGGACTTGCTCAGGAGACCTGAACAGGCGAGGCCGTTTTACACTTCATGGGTCTCAAGACAGCTGACTCTGCACGGGTCTCTCTAGAGATATCCGCTTGCTTGGCGGCGGGTGGGAAGCCCAGACTCAGCTTGGGTGTTAGGGAATAACAATGAATGGATTCCGTCACCTTCCTCAAACCAAACCATCTGGATTTGAAAACACGTGGATGTCAGAAGGAGAGGGGACCAGAAACAGTAGTAAATACATCCAAGGAGGCTGCTGGTCTACAGCCGCTCACAACTCAACCTGGTCATTTTGCATATCAACATCTGGAACTCTAGCAGAGGTGGAGCCGGTGCCACCCTCGCCTCTGGGAAGCAAAGGACACAGGCACACCCAGCAACTAAGAGGCTGGGGTGTCATCAGACACCTGTGGGGACCCAGGAACCTTTCCATGCTGGGCTACCACCTGGCCACCTTACAATCTCTACCCTGATACTGCCCCCCAGGAGCCCACAGAGCAGATGCAGGAACCACATGACTGAATGAGGGGATGAGGACCCAGCGGAAGTATTCCATGAAGTCCTAATGCCTGGGAGAGTGTCTGATGACCTGCTCAGGGCCTGCGGCAGCCCAGCCCAACAGGCCTACAGCAGCCCAGCTGGACAGGCTTGGGTGCCTGTTCAGCGGGCAGTCGGATGGGCATGCCCAGCGTCCCTGGTGCTTGGTCAGTATCCCGCCGCTAGCCCAGTCCTGAAGTTCTGACCCTGTTCCTCCCATGCGCCTCTGGAGCAGAGAGAGAAGCTGGCCTCAGAGCCTGCTGAGAAAAGCAGGTGTGTTTTTCGAAATAAATAATATTTTTGAAATACTCTCTTTCTACCCCAATCTGAGAAACGGCAGAAGAGAACATGTGAAGGTCCTTGTGCCCGAAGCCACCTGGCGCAGCCCTCGCAGGACCCTGGATTTCCCTGGCAGGTCCTGTAGGCTCACAGCTGCTGTGGGATACCCTGATCCTTGTACCCTGTGAGGAAGGAGAAGAGGAGAGGCAGTTAGGGGGACACTCCCTTTAGGATTTGTCCAACATGACCCCAGTCCACAATATACTCACGAGACCTTCTTTAGTGTGTGAGGACCTTATTTGTACAGTGAGCAGTGACGATCCTACTACTCACAGGCAAGGCTATATAGGAGGAAAGAGGGAAGGAGGGAGGGAAGGAGAGAGGGAAGGAGGAAAGGAGGGAGGGAGGGAGGAAGGAAGGAAGGGAGGAAGGGAGGGAGGGAGGGATGAAGTTGGCCACCCAAGAAGGGAACAACTGTCTGACATATGTTCAGCCAGCTGGGTAGCTGGGACAGGAACAGGACTGGAGCACACTGAGTCTTCAGAACATTTTTGCTAATCGTGTGATTTTTTTTTTCCAGTATCAGAGATGAAAGCCAGGCCCTCATGTGCACTGACTAGTGCTTCTCCCTGGGCTGTATCCACAGCCTTCTCTGGGAACACTGATGATGCAAGGGAATTGTTGCTCATCGGATGGGGTTAGAGTACAGAGCTGAGACAGCAGGGAAGGGTGGACCAAGTTGTGACCCTGCCAGACATTTACCTTGGTCTAAGGAGGAAGGCCCGGAGTCCCAACTGGGTCTGTCTAGGTAGTGGGCCACCTGTCAGCCTTAGCTAACAATCCAATGATGGTTAGGGGCCTAGGAGCAATAGAAGTGACGAGAGAGGCCATGAGTGGACAGAGATGGTAGAGACGTTAGGGACCTGTAATGCTAGGTACTCTCCTTTCCAAATAAAAGCTAAAACTGCAATTAACTGTTAACCAATTAAGAGGGAGGGATATCTGTACAGGATAGAGGATGTCGCTCTACCAACAGACTCACCTTGGGAGACTGCAGCCGCAGAGAAGCAAGGCAGCACCAGGAAGAGGAGAGAGAGAAAGAAACGGTCTGAACACAGCAGCCAAAGCACTGGGGACATAAGGTGAAGGGGTACTCCACCAAAGACCTGTGAAGACAGACTTCAACCAAGGTGGACTTAGTCTTCCCAGTGACCAGTCACAGTGGCCAGCAGCCAGCTCCAGCAGGCGATTGTATCACACTGCCCGGCCCCTGTCTGCCCAGTGCCCCCTTCAGCCTTGCCCATGCCCCTGCTTGCTTCCTGTTTTTATTTCTTCTTTATTCCCTGGTCCCAGCCCATGCTCTCGGGGCACATTCTGGGTGATTTAGAAGAGGGACAGGTACAAAGAAGGCAGGTGTGACTGACAAGCTAAAGATGCTACAGTGACTGGCCCTGGTCCCAGCCCAGCTTTGTCTGGGCTAAGCGATTAGTCCCGTCTACTGACTGGACCTGCATTTATAAAGTCTACTTTGGGAAAGACCTGAGGATGGAAGTCATCTTGGATCCATTAGAAATGACTTCCCAGAGCCTTGTGCTGAGACAGATATCACAAATGATTATTAACGCCAGCTGTTGATGCAGCAATAGGAAGAGCAGTTAAGAGAGCTACCAGGCAAGCGCTGACCAGCCGTTAAGCTGCTATGACTGTTGCTGTTCACTGTTATCACAGATGGAGCATCTCTGTTCAGTCAACTCTCTGATTCCTCTCAGAAGCTTTCATCTGATACTGTGGTCGCTTGTGGCCAAGGTGTCACGTGAAACCCAACCTGTGTTTTTATGTTGAGTGATGCCAAAGGACCAACCCTCTACCCGACTGTTCCTGGGACAAAGTCAGTTGCAGTTGTTCCCTTCCTAGGGGCCATCCCAAGACACCTCCTTAGACATGGCTGCCCAGAACAACCCCAGTCCATCACAGGAGAGGGGTGCATCCATCTTTTGAAGGTGAGTGTGATATTTAGAAGAGGTGAAAAGGTGTTGGCTATTGATATTGGTGGGTGTATTTGCCAGTCTGGGAAGAGGAGATAGGGACTGATTTTCTTCTGAAGACCCCCAAAAGTCATGGCAAAAAGTTTGGTGCCAAGCAGAAACTCTGAATGTATCCCAGATACCCAGGGGACTGACAAACCCACAAGGGAACCTACAGGACCAGAATAAGAGCTGGGCTGGGGGCACTGATATCTGTAAATCCTGCAGCCAGATTATAGCTCCTGCATCAGCTCGTGGAGTTCCAGCCAAGCCGGCAAACTGAGAGACAGGCAGGGAGGGAGAGCATGGACCCCCCCCCCCCATCTATACATCTTGGGATCTACATTGTCTCATCTCGGGCTAACAGGAGTGCTCTTAAACTTATGGCTTTGGTCTAGACCCCTGTTCCTGGAGATTAAGGAGGACCAAAGACAAGCACAGATGACTGATGATTTATAGTGGTTCAACTCATGACATTTCAAGTTTAACATGTATTACTTGGGGTCCTGAGGTCATTTTTGACATGGTAGTCATGGCATGTGAAGGGCTCGGTGGGCAGTAATCTGAGGGAAGCCAAAGAGCATCTGAATTCAGGAAGCTGTGGGAACCAGATTTGACACCAACACACGTCTACTGAGACCTAGTCTGGCCTATCCCTTACTGCCATGGCAGACCTCGAATGTCCCCTGACGGCCCAGGTGCAAGGATTGGCCCCCTAACAGGAAGTCTATGGTATTGATGCATTTTCTTGAAGGGTATCTGGAGACTCTTGTTTCTTCTCTTTCTCTCCCCTCCCAGGAATGGCTTTTGTCCTGCCATGAAGTGCTATCCAGTCACAACTCAGAACAATAAAGCCAACCAAGCCTGAATTGAATTCTCTAAAACCCAGGGTGATGTAACTCGTTTTTGCTGATAAGTTGATTTATCCCGGGTGTTTGTTACAATAACAGAAAGGGGCCTCCCAGGTTTTCTAGAGTAGCTGCACTTCCTAGATCTAACTGGGAATGGGATCTGGGGCCTGCAGACGTCCCATGTCCCCAGGGAAGTGGCCATGTGCTCCTGGGACATCCACAGCGAAAGTGAGACTCACAAGGGGTCATCAAATGCAGGGTGAGTTCACCTTGAGCTGAGGCTCTTCCAGGCAGACAGGAATGTTCCCCTCACTGCCACCTGATGTTCCTCCCCTGGCTCTAGGACAGCCTAACAGTCCAAACCACTGACTTCCTCTCTGAATTCTGGGAAGTCTTGCTGTCAAGCCTGGCACCCTGGCCACCCACACTGAGTCAGTCCCACCCGGCTTTGACACTTGAACCTTCTCTAGAGGGGTGATTTGATTAGTCACTGACTCTGGTCCTAGCATTATGTATGTGCCTGAGTTTCCTGCATATTTCAAGTAGGTTCTGGACCATTCTAGACTATTCTAGGTCATTCTTTGGCCTCTGTCACTTGGCTTCTCCTCCTGCCTCTCGGGCCCTCACCTGGTACAGCTTTCCTCCACACTGGCGATTCAACCTGTACACCCAGTGAGGAGCAGCGTGTAGAAACGGGGTATGAAAAGCAAGTGACTGAAGAGATGTGGCCCCAGTTATTCCACCCAGTGAGGTGGAAACAGGAATGGAGGAACAGGGAAACAGCTGCTCAAGACAGGTGCTGTCTGATTGAAGAGTCTGCCAGGTTATTTTTGAACTGATCATTTGCCTTTGGTAAGTTTGATGTTGTAACTTCGTACACTTCCCCAAAACACTTTCGTGCCTAAACTGACTTTGCATTAACAATAACTGAACCAATAAGACCTTCAAAGACAGTGAGAACTTGTAAGGCTTGGCACCAACCAACCAAAGAGTGAGTTTAACCCTGTGAGGAGTCATTCCGCTCTGTGTGTACAACACAGTTACACGGCTTCCTGCGGGTGAAGACTGCGTGGCCTTATTTTTCCTTTAAAGACTGTGATGTGGACACACAGCCACGGGCTAGAGACCGACCTCATTCTGAATACACTAGTTTATCCCGGCTCAGTGGGAGAACGGCTTCCTCGACGGAGGCGGGGAGTGATGTCTTTGCTGGAGAGGACCCTCCCTGGGAGATCCACCCTGCAGGGCTGGTATGGTAGAGAGGGCTCTGGAAAGGTGCCCATGGCACTAGGGCAGAGGACCAGGTGCGCCCTTGGAAGCCGTGTCTTTGGGGTGAGAGGTCCTAGCCCAAGTGTAGGCCTCCTGTCCCTCCTAGGCTCCTCCCACAGCTCTGGCAACCTGCCAGACCCCACCCCGCTCTGCCCTCAGCACACCAGCCGCTACTCACTGGCAAGAATGACCATGTCCATGCCCCAGAAGATGCTCATGATCCAGCCCACCATAACGATGGCCGTGAGCACCTGAATTAGGGCCGCAGCGATATTCAGCCAGAAGACGCAGCACACATGCCTGTCTGGGAGGTCAGTGCGAGCCCCACACAGCACGGTGAAGGCCGAGACGAAGGTACCTGGGAGAGGCCAGAGGGGACAGAGGGGACAGCTTCAGGAGAGGCCACAAGGCTGCCAGCCCACCCCCACGGCTCAGAGAGAAACGGGAGGTCCTGCACCGTGTCCTCTGGGCCTCTGTCTTGCTCAGGTCCTAGCCATAGTCTGTCTCCAAGGTGAAGAGATTAGGACACCTCCTGGAGGAGGTGTGACACGGGACCACTAGGGCCCAGCGCTAAGCCTGTGGGTTCTGGAAAACAGGAGTCATTGGTGAGCCAGAAGTCAGTCTCAGAGGTTGAATTCCAGAGAGATGGGGAACCAGGAAGTAATCTCAGCCCACGTGATGCTTGCCCGCTAGGAGATAGGACTGAGACCTGGGACTGGTGGAGTACGGGACTGCAGCCAGACAGTCTCAGAGCATCCCTGATGTTTCTGTAACTGTTCCAACCACAGGGGTGGGGTGTAGCAGAAAGAGCCACCTGGGGGGTCCCCTTCCCTCTCCTCCCTTTCCATTCCCCCTTTCCACCTCTGTCTTACCCCTGTTGGAGATACCTGCTCTTTATCGAGTTTTACTTGACTATAGCTCTTCTCTGATGTGAGCTTTGAGCCCCGCCTCCCCCCACCCCCACCTCCCCCACCTCCACATCCCCCACCCCCACCCCATCACCCATCCCCACCCCTGCACGAGGACTCAGCAGAGTTCTCGTTCTCCCTGGAGGTGCTCACAACAATTACCACAAGCTTAGAGGCTTCCACAACACAAATGCATCCTTCCTCTGTTTTGGAGGTCAGGGCAGTCTGAATGGGGCTTCAGACCTAGTATGGGCTACCATTTCCTGTTGCCCCAGCTTCTAGAAGCTGCCTATGGTCATGGCTCATTGCCCCTTGCTCCATTGCCAGAGCCAGCAGCAGAGCATCCTGTCCTTGATCTGCTGTCCTCTCATCCCTGGACCCTGGTCTTGCTGCCTGCGTTATGTGGGGACACACTTGATGATGTCATCCCTGAACCCTGGTCCTGTTGCCTGCCTTATGTGGGGACACACTTGATGATGTCATCTCTCAAGATCTCCTGCTTCATCGTGTCTCAGAGCCCCTTTTATCGCATAAGTTCACATAGTCACAGGTGTAGGGACTGGGACGCAGATGTCTATGGGGGCAGGTATGCAGCCTTCCACTCTATCTTATATAAAGAGACTCAGAAATTAACTACGTTGCTCAAAGTCACAGTCACAAGTTGACTCCCACAGTGACCCCAAGGGTCAATGACCTGTCAAAAGAAGGTCAGGATCTAAATTAAAACATTTGAGAAAATGGCCTATGGACTGGTGACCATTCTCAGGACCCCAGTTCTCTCTGTTCCCACTCTTGAGAACACTGAGATTGTCCGTTCAGTTCCCGCTGAACCTGGTGTCTATTACCCCCTTCCTATTCCCGCTGAAACTGGTGTCTAACCCCCTTCCCATTCCCACTGAACCTGGTATCTAACCCCCCTTCCCATTACTACTGAACCTGGTGTCTAACCCCCCTTCCCATTCCAGCTGAACCTGGTGTCTAGCCCCCCTTCCTATTCTCACTGAATTTGGTATCTAGCCCCTGGTTCCTGCTCACCGGCTCCTACTGGCTTCCGGACACCGACTTTACTCTGGTCTGCCCTAATGCCTATGATAGAGGCTGAGGGACTGAGTCTAGCCGCTGATTTCTCCTCCTGACCCTCCCCACGCTCCTCCTCCTCTGAACTACTACCCCCAGTGAAGGCCCCACCCCCTTGCCCCATCTCCTTTCCTTTCAGATCTCCAACAAGGGGGCGCGGTACCTCTCCCACAGCAGGTGGTCTGTGGAGGTCCCAGAAGACCTGGTACCGAGTGCCTTCAGACCCTATAGCACCACCTGCGGCATTTCTGTAGCAGATATGGTGCCCAGGCTCCCCAGTACCCCCGAATGCCTGAAGTGCCCAGGGCTCTGTATTTCCAAACAACCGCCCTCCGCCGCCAAGGAACAATGAAGCTCAGTACAGCATGACACCCAGGAAGCTGGCCTTGCACCAGCCACACAGGCCTAGCATAGAGCATGGCAATCCTATGGAAGCTGCAAAACCAAGCTCTTGTCTCCACAGGATGGGCGGTCCAGCAGGGGCACACAGTGGCTGAGGACTCTCCTTTCTGGATGATGAGACAAGGTTACCCCTTGCAAGTCTGTATAAGCTGTCTTGGGCACTAACTCAGTCCTGTCCTGGCAGCCTGTACTACTTCAGACACTCATACTCCACTGGGAAGATTAAGGGCCTATGCAGAGTCCCAGAAACCAGGACATGACACCCACCTTATCCGGTGGGGAGAGGGAGGTGAGTTTAGACAGCCCTGGGGCAGCAGTGGTGGCGTGGATAAGGGGCTGACGTGAAAATGAGGACTAGCTGGATCGCTGTGGAGGACTCTGAACGCTGGGCTGTGGCTCTGCCTAACCTGCAGAGAGCCGAGCTCCAGGGAGTGGTGAGCAGGAGAGGGATGTAATGGGAAAGGAGCCGTAAGGAAGCGAGGCTGGCAGCAGGTGTTGGTGGATGTAGAAACAACCTCTGAGACGTGTCAGGGACACGGAGGACTCGAGAAGTACATGGCACCATCCTCGCTGCTACTGGAGTACCATGTGTGGGGAACAGGAGATGAACACAAGCCGACAGCGTTACACAAGAGAACCCTGCAGATGTAAGAAGGTGGTGGGAGAGGAACGCGAATGCGTGGGGGAAATATTAAGTGAAAATAACACAGATGCATTACAGCAGCACAAGCGTGCTGAGCTCATGCTACCCCCTCTCTACCTACGCTGCTTTTTTTAAAAAAAAAAATATTTATTTATTAGAGGGAGACCCACATGCCCCGGCCTGTGTATAGAGATCAGAGCAAAAATTGACTCTCTCCTCCTACCATGTGAATTCCACGGATCAAGCTCAGGCCTGCAGGCTTCATGACTGACCCCTCCGCAAACACACAAACATGCAAGCCTGTATATGTACACATGCAACTCCCCAACACACACAAAATGGGGAAGGCATTTTTTTTTTCTTTTTAGACAGAGTCTCACGTAGCCAGGCTGCCCTTGAAATCCTGACCACCACCCCCCACCTCTATCTCCCAAGTGCTGGAGTTACAGGTCTGTGTTACCGTGTCCAGCTAAAAGCTTCATTCATAATGATATTCATACATCCACAAGTCACCCCACCCATTGTCACTCACTGTGGACTTTTGCCAAGGCACCGCGACCCTCTGTCTCTGTAGCTATGGCCTCCCTTCTCTCTTCCTGCCAAGTAAAACATCTCTATAATAGGGCTTCTCCCCACCACACACACACACAGGGTATGTTATATAGATAGTGCAGGTTACCAATTTGAAATCTCGGCCTCAGTCTCCCACATGCTGGGATCACAGTCTTGCCCCATCGTGCCCAGCTCAAGGTAAGCATCTGTCATTACTGATAGAAGATGGATGCTCATCAGAACTGCCGAACTGACAGACCACAGGTCTCCGGGCTTGCCTGTAGTTAGCTGATGTGGGAAGACTCATTGTAACTGTGGGCGGGACTATTCCTGAGCATAAGGTCCTGGACGGAACAAAACGAAGAAAGAGAGCTGAGCAGTAACCGAGCATGCGTTCATCAGTCCACTTTTGTACTGCACGTGCAAGGTTGCCAGTTGCCTCAAGCTCCTGACACCTGACTTCACCACCATGACGGACTGCCCTGTGGAGTGTGAGCCCTTGAGTTGCCTTGGTCAGGGCACATTACTACAGCATCAGAAAAAAGAAACTGAGGCAGAACCCAAAGCAGTTTGCACATGAGAACCGTAGATGGAGGCTCCTGAAGGTGTGGACTCTAGAGTTCCAACGCCAGCCCTTGAAGGCACAAGGACGGCGCTGGAACTTGCTTATCTAAAAACACTAAACAGAGGCTGGAGTGTAGCTCGCTCTCACGCATGAAGCCCTGGGTTCCATCCTCAGTACCAAAATTAAGCAGAAGACAAGCATTCCCCCCAGCTGACTCAGATGGGCGGCTAGGTTTGAGAATTCCCACTCGGGGCTGCAGAGATTTGCCTCACAGATACAGCATCAGAAAACTACCCCACCAGATGGTGGAGATGGCTCAGGGGGTAAGAGCATTTGCTGGGCAAGCGAGAGGACCCGAGTTTGGATTCCCAGCACCCACAATTCCAGAGTTTAGGGGATGGGGGTGGGAGTGACCGGGAGGAAGACAAGCAGATTCCAGGAGCTCTCCAGTCAGCCTAGAAATACTGAGTTTCAAGTTCAGCGAGAAACCAGCTTCAAAACTAAGATGGAGAACATGGAGGATACCAATCATTTTCCTCTGGCCTCCATACGCACAAGTACCTGCACATATATTTGTGTATACACCTACACACACACACACACACACACACGAACACACATATCAAAAAAGAAGAGAGCCTCGATCTTATCAATAACTCAGGTGTCCACGGTTTCGCCCTTTTGATCAGTGTAGTAGCTTCTCCATGTTGCAGGGCAGGGCTGCTCTGGGACCTGTGCCCTGGGCATGCTACTTCTGTGACCACGGCACCAGCAGGCACAGAGAAATGATAGCCTCAAACTGTGGGGTCTGTGCTCCATAGCCCCGGGCATTCAGGCACGGGTGTGTGTTCCCCACATCCTACCGTGGCTGTGACAGAGCTCGGCAAGCAGTTGCAGCCTGAGGAAGACCTTCCCACAAAGTCGTACTTGACACAGGCCATGCCGGTTTCCTACCACAGGCCCTCTGGCTACCATTCCACCTTTGAGGTGTCTGTGACCAACTTCCCCCAAGGAACTCAGGATGCAGGTCTGAGCCAGACAGTGGGAGGAGAAAGAGCCCTATAACCCCTTCTCCCACCCCTTCGAAGTCCCCAAAGGGCTTGCCTGGGGTGGAACTCTGGGCAGAGTTCCCAGAACTTCCTTCCATTCCCTCCCCCACTCCTGTCAGGAGTAAAAAGTGAGCCATGGAGTTACCCCTCCAGGAGAGGGGG